TTCCTGTATACAGCATATTGTTGGATTTTGTTTCTTAGTCCATTCTGCCAGTATGTTTCTTTTGACTGGTGAATTGAGGCCATTTACATTTATGGTTATAACTGATATGTGTTGGCTTATTGTTGTCATGTTATTTACTTGCTGTTGGTTTCCTACTTTTTCAACCTGTTTAATTGCTTGTTCTGCTTGAGGGTTCCTTTCTATTGTTGTTCTGGAAATTATGATCATTTATTCTCTGTCTATAATATCTTTTAGTACTCTTTGTAAGGATGGTTTGACAGTCATAAAGTTTTTCAGTTGTTCTTTATTGTGGAAATATTTTATTTCTCCATTGAATTTGAAGGATAGTTTGGCAAGAAACATCAATCTTGGTTGGAAGCTGTTTTGTCTCAGGACCTGCGATACTTCACTCCAAGCTCTTCTTGATTGGAAGGTTTGTGTTGAGAAGTCTGTTGTGATTCTGATGGGCTTTCCTTTATACGTGATCTGTTTCTTTTCTCTAGCAGCTTTTAATAGTCTGTTCTTTTGCTGGAAATCTGGAATCTTGACTGTTATACGTTTCAGTGTTTTATTTTGGTTATGACTAGTTGGGGTTCTATATGCCTCATTTGCCTGTATGTCAGATTCTGTTTCCATGCTTGGGAAATTTCTGCTATTATTTCTGCAAATATTCTTTTCATGTCATTTGTGTTGCCTTCTGCTGTTTCAGTGACTCCTATTAGTCGTACATTATTCCTCTTTGCCTTGTCTTGAAGCTGTTGAATTGATTTTTCCTGGTTCCTTTTTGATTTTAAGAGATACTTTCTTTCATGGTCACTAGCTGCCATGCTGTCTTCAAACTCTGAAATTCTATTTCTGCTTCATTCAAGCAGGTTTGGAAGCTTTCAGTGGAAGCTTTAATTTCCAGGATGTCTCTTTGAATGTGTTTCATGTGTTCTGGTTCACTCCTATATTGTTTATTTAATGTTTCCATCCATTGTGTATGTTCATCTTTTTTATATATATTTCTTCTTTAGATGTGCTGAGCAATTCTTTCATTATTATTGTCATTTCATTTTTTGCCTAAGAGATTATTTCTGGTCTGATCTTTTCTATGGCCTGATAGAGTTGTTTCTTTACTTCCATTGCAATCATTTCAGCAATTTCAGGTGTGTGTTTACCAAGTTCTCCTATGTCAGTGTCTCCTGGTCTTGTTCTGAGTAGGATGGAGTTCTGAGATTGTGTTTTGGTCCTGCATTTTGACATGTTTGATACTGGAGGCAAAATGCTCAGTCTCCCTCTTCCTTGACAGCTCAGCAAAGGTTGCTAGTATACCTAGTTTTCCTGGTGGTCAGGCTTGCCCCTCAGTGTCTGCTGAGATGTGCTGCTTAGTCTGGGGGTCTTCTGGTAGATGGTGAAGTGTACCTAGTTCTCCCAGTTCTGAGAAGTGAACTGTAATGTCTGTTGATGGCAGACCATCTGATCCATTGTCCCTTTGCAGCTCAGGTCATGCATATGACCCAGAAGCAGGTTGCACTGGTGGCACAATCCCAGGATAGTGGTCCTGTGTCCCCAAGTAGTTCAGGGCAGACAGGAACCACAGAGTCAACAGTTTGTGAATCACCTGATTCCGTGTCTCCAGGCAGCTCAGTGTGTGCACAGGAGCTAGATGTGGGCTGCACTTGTGGTGATCACAGATTGCCTGTGTCTGTGACCTCTAGGAGGTCAGACCGCATATAAAGCCCAAACTCAAATTTCAGCGCCAGCAGCTCATGGACAGCCTGCTCTAGTACCTCAGGCAGCACAGGCCATGCACAGGGAGGGCCCAAACATGAACCCCATGTTAGCAGTTCTTGGGCCTTCTGAGTGAGGATCTCTTATCTGCCCTGAGCACATGGAGGGTGGAGACTCAGACTATAATAACAGTAGGGTTGTGGATTGTCTGCACTGCCCTCAGGAAGTAGATGGGAAATACGTGGTTCTCTGGGCATTCAGCTATGAATTGTGATGTCAGAAGGTCATGGACTGCCTGATTCTGCATCTCCAGGAAGCTCAGGGTGAGCACAGGTGCCAGACATAGGCCACACTGGTGGTGATCACAGAACACCTGTGTCTGTGACCTCCAGGAGGTCAGGGCCCAAGTAAAGCCCAGACATGATCAGTGGTACTAGCAGCTCGTGGGCCTTCTGAGTGAGGTTGTTCTGTCTGCTATGTGACCAAAACTGTGAAAGAAGTATTTTGAAAGGATGGAGACATCACAAGACTATACATAAATGATGAGTTTGAGGAGAGGAAAACCTTAGAATAAATAAAGAAAGTCTAAAATTGAAAGAAATACTGTGACATAAGCATGCTAGTCAGAAAAATGGAGCAAAATAATCAGTTAAGGGAAGTTAAATATGTTGTGTTAGTGGAAGGAAATGGGAAGGAGGAGAGGACTGCTATTTGAGAAACAAAAGCCTTGAGCGCAGAATGTTGCTTTGTGATAGAAGTTACAGAATGTTCATGATTAAAAAGGTTTTCTATATTTAACTCTTTATGTTAATTTTATTTTATAGGAATTAGCCCCTACTATTCTTTGATAGCAAATGGAACTGATGATTTTGAAACAGTATTCATTCAAAACAAAAGAATGTCATTCATTCAAAGCAACAGTACATCAAAGCAAATATTTCCATGCCGAACAAACTGAGAACCTAAAATAACTGGAAACTGAAACTGAAAACAGGGCTCTAAATAGGGCAACCATTTATGCAAAAATTGACAAAAGGCAATAAACCAGGAATATCTCAGACAGTGATCACCCATACCCCCAAAGAAGACTTTTTCTAACAGCATCTTGAAACATAGTGCTTTGAATCTAGAAATTATAGCATATAAACCAAATTGGATGATGTATGCAACCCCCATAGAAGGTACTATAATTAATGTCATAAGCCTATTATATCACTATCAATAGAGAAGTATTTTTAATTAATTTATGCATTTATTTGCAGGGTTAGGGACATTAACACAAAGTTAATGTGTTCTTTCTCTGATAAAACTCTTCTCTACAACATTTAACAAACCTATCTTATCTCACAATGACTTTCTTCCTTGGTTTACTTAATAAAAATCATAAGATAATGGCATTCAAAGAAAAGATAAGATTTTCATGAAACCCAGGGCCTTACATTCTAGTCAAGCATTCTGCCATCAAGCTACATTTCTAGCCTAAAAAGTTCAAAAGGAAACAGTCTTGTGTTTTATATTTTTAGATGTATGTACAAAAGCCCAGAGACTTGGCTAGAATAATTCCAGTAACTATTCCAAATGAAATCTTACCTGATACAAAAACCTGAATGTGAAAGTTAATACTTTCTAGATATTATATTTTAATAGTAGTAAAACCAATGATGATAATAAAACAATGATATTAATTTTTTTATATTTTTCAAAGATATTTTCATGTCACTGTTATGGAAAAGTTATCTTTGTACTCATAATTTAGCACTTCACTTATAATTTCTAAGCATCTCTATTCTTTAATATCTCTGATCTCAGTGAAATCTTATGCAAGCTATACTAATATAGCACAACATATAAATCCAGGAGAATCCGAAAAAGCAAAATAAAGTTTTAAAAAATCCAAGACAGTCATTTGATTATAGAAATCTCTACTTGCCATATGGATTCTCACAACTCAGAAAATTACTATAATATAAACCAACATAACTTGAATGTCTAAATAAAAGTAAACTTATTGAAATTCTTTTTATCTTTTAAACTGTTACTCAATGTATTTAAATTAATATGGGTAGTATCTTGCTAAAAACTGATTTAATTAAAACATATTATTTTGAATTTTTACCTACTAAAAATTATGTCTTCAACTACTGGCTTCCTATCTATAAGCATAATTACAATTTAATGAAATTTTCCTTTGGGGCTGGGGATGTAGCTCAAAGGTAAAATGTTCACCTTGCATAAACAAGGTCCCAGGTTGAATGAAAAAGAAATTTGTATTCCATTTTCCCAGCATACACAAAGGTCTTTAAAGTTTGAAAGTATCTCTCATAATAATGATATAGTCAATCAACAATCACTGAAAGTTAATGTGTTCTTTCTCTGATAAAACTGCATTCTCTACAACATTTAACAAAACTATCTTATCCCACAGTGATTTTCTTCCTGGTTTATTTAATAAAAATCATAAGATAATGGCATTCAAAGAAAAGATTTTTATTTAATGCTGTGTTATATATCAATATAAATGACATACATTTTTAAAAAGTTTAAGATAGCATTTGATTTCTAAAGTAGACCTTACCAAGAAGAAAAAAAAAAGACTTAAAACATAATCTATTTGTATCCTAATCTTGAACTTGTGTGGATTTATTTTGATCTCTTCTCCTAGTTAGAAACAAAATTGAAGGAACAAAAGAATTAGCAAGAGAAAAAGATCTAGTGAGTACAATCACAAAACTCTGATGGGTTCTGCTTAACATTAAAGAGATTACAATAAAAGAGCCTGATTAAATAAAGATGTCCAAAGTAAGAAAATGAGTGAAGGAAACTGCACCAGCAGAGCAACTGACTGCGACAGGAAAAGTAGTGGAAGTCAGAGAATCAGAAGCAGGCCGAGGATAGCTTCAGATTCCTGAAAAAGCCCTAAACTCTGCAGAAAGAACATGTAGAAAAGAAGAGACACAATAAATAGTCCTCAAAAACACTTTTAAAAAATTTAAACTGTTTATTCATTTCTGTTTACTTAACATATTTTTAAAAAATTATGCAAACTTTTATTTTAAAAGAAAAAATAACAATAAAACATTTCAAAACCGGTTAGTAGAAGAGTTACAATAATTAATACATTGACTATTGTTGCCTTCATAGTAGTTACTCAGAGTACAAGATACAGGCATGATATCTTGTCCAGACAATATTAGCACAAACTTTTCTTTTTGATGAACTAAGAGACACTGGCTGTATAACTACCTTAACTATCTTCTGTATAAATATATTTTTTTCCTTTTCTTTTTCTTCCTTTCCTCTTTCCCCATTAGTTCGTCTCTTCTTTTGAACAGTTTCTTCCCAATTCACAATATCTACTGTACATTCTGGATCTCATTTACTCATGCAGTTTCTCAAATTAGTGAGATGATACAATGTTTACCCATTTGGGTCTGATTTATTTCACTCATGAGTATGGTCTCCAGTTGCATGCTGCAACTGTAGAAATGCTTCCCTTCTCACTTACATTAATCATTGAGAAACTGATTATCAGAATCTTCCAGAAAGTGATATTTTGATTCCTATAACTTTTTAAGAAAACAAAATAATGTACTTTATAAATAAACATATTTACTTTGCAATGCAAATTGATTAATTAGGCCATAGAGTCTTTGCTTGATGTGACAGAAGATTGTTGTCAAAATCTTTTAACTTTGTTACGCAAGTGTGTAACACTTCATGAATCTATACATGAAGTTCTTTAAGCAAATGTAGTAAAATTGAAAGTTAACTCTTCTTGCATACATGTAAGTATGCAACTAAAACTGGTCATTTTACATTATTTTGCCTTTTGCATTTCTATAATTGTACAATTTGGTGTTCATAGTACTTAAAACTAAAATCAAAATAAGCATCAAGTAGCTTAAAACCATAAATCACAACATAGTATTCATATAGACAAGGTGAGAAATTGGATTTGTTTTACTTAATGTCATTGTGGAGTGTGCAACAGATACTTAAATGAAGTCTTTTCAAAACAAGTTTTTTTAAATATGATATCTTTTAGAGATCTTCGAGTTAAGTAATAAATCTTTGAAATATGAATGTTCACTTTACTTTATAATGATCATTGTGCTTTCAAGGTGACCATGATGGCTTTATTTCATTTCACAAATGCTTTTCATTGTTTGCATATATTTAGAATTTAGACAATATCAGGTATACCCTCTAATTATTTAGGCTGTCCCCATGTCAGAAGTGTTGCCTTGTCCAAATTGTGAAGGAGAGTTTCTTTTGCATCTTTTATCCTTTGATTCCTTTTTCTCCTTGCTTATGCCTTCTCCATATTCTCCCCTTTGCAAGTTTCCACCCTAATGCCCTAAACCACCATTTCCAACTATAATTCTTTTTTCATGTATTCAAGATTCACATAATTATTTTTTAAAGCTTAATGCCTAGGTATCTGTTTCGAGAAAAATTTATATATTAAAAATAATTCTTAAAAGTAGAGAGGAAGAAAAAAGCAATGGCAAAAACATTAAGCTATTTATGATAAGACCATCATCTTAGTAGGTCTGTGATGGTGGCAAAATTCTCTGTAGAATCAGTGATAAATTTATTTGAAATTAGAAAGGGAAGAGATAAGCCTGTCACTTTTACCTTCCCTTTGACTATTTATTTATTCTGCTGCCAGGTATTCTGGACTATGCTGATAGAGCAGATACTAAAAGAGAGAGACGAACTAATCTTGTTCCATTTGTATTCACTTTTCAGTTGATTAGCAAGAGATAATCATGTATAATTATTGTGGTTAACATTTGTTGGTAATCACCAGTTTCCAGATCGTGTTCCTTCATTTAACATACATGAATTAGCCTATGTGTCCTTTGGTCCCAGCTGATCATGGTCAGCCATCTCATCTAATGTGGTCAAGATCCCTACTTAGTGATAGGCAAATAACCAATACATTGGCTAGTACAAGCAAACCCTCTACCAAACATAGAACAAAGATGTACAAATTGCAATCATTGGTAGCCATCTGAGAAGCACAAGAAAGCCTCCATCAGAGTTAGTTAGGCCACACCAGGGAAGTAGATCCACCCTTTGGGAAGGGACCCAAAAATCAATTTTTGCCCATATTTTATTCCAGACATGACACTGAAGGTCTGATAAGTAACCCCTTGCCTGAAGCTTGATCTCCCTGGACTTTCTGTTATATGAGTCAGTTAAGTTTTCTTTTACATAAAAGCTAAATTCAAGTTTTCTGAAACATTCCTTTTAAGAATGTACTCTACATAATGGAGCATTTTCCTGTCAAATGAAACAAATTCAATCAACTGGTATCAAGGTAGATACTGGGTGGAAGGAAGAAACTTTGTAAGGCCCATGTACTAATATTAATTTGCTCAGGTTAAGGGAAAAGTTCAAAATCTAGGTTTGGGTCTTCTAGCAAAGCTTGGGTAGTTGACGTAAATGTCTTCATTGGCATCACCTACAGGTTGATGGGTTGAGATGGGTCTCCTGTAGTTGTTGCCTACCTACAAAGACAAGCATCAGCTAGTGTCAATAATTCACTGTGTTTCAGCATCCAATAAAGACACTCAAAATAAATATCTCAGTTCAACCATGATACAAGTCAAATTTCCATTTCAAGTACTTTCATGATTATTATATGGAGTTTCTGTTGGAAATCACATTCTTGATTTATAAGACCCTGAATGAGATGTAACATCAATCTACTCTAGATTATTAGTTGCTCCACTGTGCTATCAATTACCTATTTAGACGTAGAAGGCCCTTCAGCAATGGTAGGCTATTTGAATAAGAAAATTATTTGTTTTTATATGTAAAGTATAGCATTTTCCCCCAATGAGTACCCATTAATGTCTACTCAATGAATGTCTTAAGAAATAAATATTTTAAAGTACAGTGTCCTAGCTTTAAAAACTGAGCAGCTAAGCACAATGAAAGAACTTGACCAAAGAGGCATTCTTTTTCAAGATGATGTTGCATAATCCTTAACCTTCTCTACCCTGATCAAGTTACTTTAACCACCTGTGTGTGGGTATGTGACAGAAAACACACAGTGGCAAGAAGATCAGATAGAGAGGAGAAAGAAGCAGAGACAGAAAGAATGAACAAGAAATAGGGCATGAATGAGAGAGAGAGAGAGAGAGAGAGAGAGAGAGAGAGAGAGAGAGAGATCTTTTGGTGAGTAGTTTGGAAATTTAGATCATTTTGATGACTGTAACAAAAAAGCAAATGGAAAATTCAAGTGTCTTATTACTTATATGTCTTACCTTAAAAAGCACAAAAGAATTAAATAGATATATCTCTTAGAGTCTATTATTCTACAAAAGTCAAGACATATTGAATATCTAATGTACAGTTACAAAGCACCTTTCTTCCCTTAAAATTCCTAACAATAAGCTTATGTTTGGATTGGTGTGAGTGGGAAAAGAGCAAAGCACAGAAAAAGCCATTCAAAAATTGTAAAGGACGGAGCACCATTTCATTATGTGCTAAGGTAGCACATGAACTAAGACAAGTCTTCTTGATTACACAGTTTGTGATGAGAAGCAAGCCAGGAGTCAATGGAGAACTTGTTTTCATTTTTGTTTTCCACAGTAGTTAGTTAATGTCCAAAAAGTCCAGGTGATAGAACATGAAGAAGTCTGATTATTTTAGTGCAGAATTTTTAGCCATGCAGAATTCGAGTATAAATAATTAAAATGAAGAGAAATTTACATAATTTTGGATGGCACTTGAGAAAATATCTGTCTTGGTCAGTTTAAGCTGCTACAATAGAATACCACAGACTAAGAAGCCTAACCCACAAACATTTCTTTTTCACAGTACCAGGAGCTATGAAGTCCAAGTTCAATTTCTACTGAGGGCTTCCTTCTTGACTGGTAGGTGACCATCTGCTCCTTAGGTCCAGGCTTTTAGTGCAGAAAGCAAAGAGAGCAGTCGCTCACATCTCTTCTACTAAGGGCACTAATTCCACTTCCCAAAGACTCATCTTCTCCCAAAGACCTCCTGCTAAGACCACACACTGACCACCGGGATCTCAAGGTGTGAACTTTGGAGGAAAGCAGCATTTGATCCACAGCAACATTTGATTGTAAAATTTAATAAACACAATAATATAAACACTGACATAGTAAAGACAGTGAACTTCAAAATAAACATCACTGCTATCTGAAAACTCAGAAGGAAGAATCTATTTCATTAATTAAATAGTACAGAGCAGAGAAGAATGAGGTGGATATTTTTCATTCATTAGACTCTTGCAACTGGTGAGAAAGATCTTTAGTCTCATAATTTAATTTGAACATTCATTCATTAATAAATTCATTCAAAGGCAATAACTAATGAGTTTTATGCTACACAGATGCTGTGCTTCTATGTCTTTCACGTAGTTTAATTTAATTTAATCCTCACAAATAACCTTATGCCGTAAAAATAATGTTATGCTCTGTAGTGAGGCGAAGAGAGGCCCCCAGAAAATTTTTCCATCTCAGAACTTCATTATATAACTTCACGTGAAAGTAAGATCTTTGCAGATGTAATTCATGAAGATAATACCGCAGGTTATACAGGCATAAGTGGGAGACAGCCCTTAGTTCAATATGAAAAATGTCTTTGGATGAGAAGAGAAATAGACACAAGAGATATACCACATGAACAAAAAGGCAGAGATGAGTTGTGTCTCCAAGTAGGACTGCCAAGGATTGCAGACATCTGCCAGAAGATGCAACAAGAGCCTTGAGCAGATGTTACTCCAAAGAAGGACCATCCTTCACACCCTCCTCTTTGGACTTTGACCTTCCAAAATCAGGACAGAATAGATTTTTGCTGTTTTCAACTACCCTGCTGATGTAATTTCTTACAACAGCCCTAGAAAACGTGACCTAGTGGTTTGGTAATGCACGATGCTGACTGCTATTATGCCAGTACAACTGCACCTGTATGTATACTGATGTAAAGCACTTTAACATCAAATGGTGTAATAATAAGAGAATAGTTCAAGTAACTGACACTTTAATTACAAGAAACTGCTTGACCAAGTTATGGAAAGGAAAACAAAAGGTAGGATCTTTAACTGCAAAGACAGATTTTGTAAGACATTAATGAATCACAAAGAGAAAAAAAATAACAATCCCTAATGAACTCACCTTACTCTGTGTATCTGAGGAATTTTTAGCTGGAACATTTTTCTTTCTCCTTCTCCTTCTAAAATACATATTCAACAGAGAATATTAAGACACTGCACTTCAGCACTAGTATCAATTCAACAATTTCATACCTCACCAAGTTTCCAGCCCACCTCTACTTACTGAATATGCATATCTGACTACCTGACTACCTATGGTGGATTCCTGCACATGTAACCAATATTCTAATGATGTAAACTTCTTTTCCTTCTCCCTACTTTCTCCAATGTGCTCACAGGTGGTGACAACAGCTATCCAGTCAATATTAGTTATATATATATATATATCTTTTCCCTTTCTTTGTATTTTAACATTTTTTTTTTCCGGTATCAAGAATCGAACTGAGGACATTGCGCTTGCCAGGCAGGCACTGTGCCACTGAGCTAAATCCCCAGCCCCTCTCTTTTTGTACTTTAAAGAGAAAAAAACTAACAAAACAGCAACAGTGAGGACAAAAACAAAAGCAACACAGAAACAATAAAAAATGATACATGACCTCAAAACAAAATGACAGGAATTAACAATGGTTGCTACTTTACATACTGTTATCTTCAATGAAGTTGCTCAGTCCACCAGATGTAAGAATGAAAGAATGATCGAACAGTGAAAGACAATAACAACTAAAAAAAGCACTGGAAATGACAGAGCACTTCACCATACAAAATGGTTGGAATTCAATAATGATTCTTATACTGCATATTGTTGTCTTCAAATCAGTCCTTGTCATATATATATATATATATAGATTTGTAATGGGCTATTAGGGAAATGGCTAGTCTTTTCCAAATAACCTGGGGCTTAGAGATTTTCTACAATTGAAACATTTTAAATGCCAACAGTGTAACTTCTTGCGTGTCAGTATTAATAAAGCTAAGCTTTATAAAAATGTATAGGTGTTATTATGGATTATTTTATTCAGATTTCATCCGAGTTCTACACTTAACAGATTAGGAATCAGATGTGGACAGGTAAAGCAGCTTGCCCAGAATCACATGGTTGCTTCCTGGTAGTGCCAGAATTTAAATCCACAGTCCTCCCTTCTGACTCTGAAGCTGTACTTCTGGAATCACTTGGCTACGGCTGAATGGGCCATCTAGAACCATACTATTCAACAACTCTTCACAGTTCCAAGGAAGCCTATAAAAACTTAACTTCCAGAGAAGTCTCAGAAAAGCAAACACAAAAGGAGAAAAAAAGAGGGTAATGTGATTGAATGCAAAGAAAAAGTAACTATGCTAGTATATGAAGAAAGATATTGTAAAGAGACCACAAATATCTCTTTTTCAGATTTCTAAAAAAAAATCCTACTTAACAACAAAAGAGGTAAATTAGTTGCAAAAATGTAGGGTTTCTTTCCTTTGCATTTTGCATTTTAATAGAAGGCTGTGATTCCTTTGTAGCAGTCTTGAAAACAAGAGAGTTCCACTCCAAGGAAAGATTATTTAGTGATAGATATTAATTCTAATGCTCTCCCTTAGTTGCTTGGAAATTCTCCTTCCATGTCAATGTGATATTATTTTATTCTATGTCCATCTTTTTATTTAAACCAGTTTTCTTTCATCTTCTTATTCTATGTGTAAATTAGTGGTGGAACATTTCTCAGTGTTTCACTGAGAATAATAAATATATTATTATTCTTAATAAATTCTTAATAAATATATTAAGTCTTTTACTTATAAAAGGAATCCACAAGATGGCTGCCATTATCACCTTTGATCTTTTATTAAATCATCATTTTCAAGACTGTCTCACATATGTGGCTAACTTTCCCTAATGGATCCCAGTGTGTGTGTGTATGTGTTTAAGGAATCCTGGAACATACAATGTGATAAATATTAAAATAACAGAGAGCTTAGTGTCACATGCTCTGTGTTTAACTTGTGCTCTGCTATTTACTTGCTGAGTGACTTTCATCTCTAAAGATCAGTCCTGCAAACCAGCTATTCCTTCGTGTTCTTATTCTATGTGTAAATTTATGATACACATATTGAAGTCTGCTCTATGTTGACCAGCTGTTCTGTTTGTCTGGAACTAAGATTTCTTCTAGGATGAACTTCTTTTTCAGTGCTGAAAGCAGGAAAGTCTCAGGTAAACTGAAACACCACATTTGCCATGAGCAGCAACAGCAAATATACAAATAAGTGTAACGTTTTTCTCACCATATTAAATTTCTTCTTATCAACACAGCTGTCCACCTCTATGATATCACAGTTCCTTACATGATGACCAAAGCTGTCCCTGGCCCCTGGCCATGCTCCTGTACAAGTGTGACTGTGCTGCTTTGTGAGAAAAACACACTCAGGAACACAGGGACTGTTTCAGCATCCCTGGACACACAGGTAACCAGGAGCAAGGACTGAAGAAAGAATTTATTTCAGCTTCTACACAAGCCAGCAATCTGAAGCTGCAGGATTATTTTAAAAAGTTTGTCAGACAGAACTCCAGAGGGTCATTGCTAAAGTTCTTCAGTCATTTTTTTTCAAAAAAACTGAAATAATCCTAAAACAAGAGTATAACAAAAGAGAAAGGAAAGTACTCCTTTCCTTCGCTGTGTTCACCCCTGATTATGTACTGGAATCCACTGACGTTTTCATCTTATTTAACCAAGTGGTACAATGTACTCTGCAGTTCAATTTAGCTGCTCCTGTAAAGTGTCACAGCAGCATGAAGGCAAGTCCATCATTCCCAACATCTGACCCTCAACAGGTCCCTTCCACCTCTCATGCCCTTGCTCATGCTGCCCCTCCTGGAGCACAGTTCCTGTCACCTCTGCCCTGTCTGCCTTTTTCAAACAGTCAAGATGAGGCAGTAGAGACATCCTTGGCAATGTAAATTCTTGAGGTCCTTACTTCAGTGTGCTAATTTCTCAGGAAAAGCCTTGAAAGCAAGTCATAATGGAGAAAGGGCAGAATGACTGTCTCCTGTTTCAATTTAATTAGATGCTCAGTGAACATCCATGACAGTACTTGTTTAGGTTGGTGCTAAATGCTACCAGACAAAAAAAAATGAAGGAAATACAATCCCTGAATACCACAGAAGAGAAGAAAGCATGAAAATGAATAAAATACACAGTGTGATATGAGGAGTAACAGATAAGGAGTACAGAATGATGCCAGATAGTGACATCATTCTACCTGCAGGGCAGAGAAACAGGACAGGCCTCCTCCATGTTGAATCGTATACAGGACTGAAGCCAAGTATGAGGAAAACTATATTTTGTACCATACCATAAGGAAGATAACTGTGTTCAAAGAATAAAATTTATCGTTTTTACAATTTTTTTCAAAATTAAGGGAAGTAAGTAAAGTAGAAAATATAAATGAAAAAGTAGGCATTGGTCAGAAAGCAGGGCACCTTCAATAGGAGACAGGGTTAATGAGTTTTAAGATTATTCTGCTGGTGGCAAGGAGATAATAAAAAGTGTTAAATAGGATGATGACATCACCAGTTCAACTTTCAAAAGAGAAACTAGGAAAAATCAATAGGTTAGTGATGGGTTTCTGCCTAAATAAAAATTCCTCTAAGTCATCACGATGGTGAGTGCGTACAGCACAGGCCACTGGAGGCCATGTGGCAAGCCCTGCCTTCCTCCTCCCCGGTCATATTACAACTTCCTACTTCCTCCTTACAACATCCTGTTTTCTTCTTCCTGCCCTGCCAAGTAACTATCTGCCTCATCACACAGACCACCCCCTTAACCCCACCCCCAGCCTGGCCCTGTATAGCCATTGTTCTCCCAGCCAGGCCCTCAGAAGCTCCACATCTCCCTTCTCTTCTTTGGTTTTCTCTGTGCCCTCAATAAAGTCATTTTTAACTTTGTTTTGTTTCACTTGTGCCAAAAAACCTAACAGAGGGAGAGGATGTATCTGTAAGCAGGAGCACAGGTTGGAAAGTATTAGTATAATCAGGTAAATGGTAGAAGACGTAGAGGTCCAGGTATGAGACAAGACATAGGAAGCTGCTGGCACTCCTATAAATAAGGGGTATGCGTGTGTGTGTGTGCATGCATGTGCCTGCATGAGCATGTGTGTGCATGTGTGTGTGGGGGGGTAATTATTATTAACGTGATTAGAGTAGAAATCAAAGCCCTCATTTGTTCAACTAACATGTATAAAGTGACAGAGCACTCCCAGACATGCAAATTGCAAACACCCACCATGTCATCTCCTCCGTAACTCCAAACCAGTAGGACTACAGCTGAGACATGTAACAAGTACTAGACAGATGGATTAATGAACATAAGAGACCTAAGAAGGAAAGAAAGAGTAAACCAAAAAAATTCTCAAAATTTCCCCTATGCCACAAAACAGTAAAAGATTGATCTTAAATGATTACCTACTGTCTCTAAGGCACCGCCATACAATTCCTTTCTCCATAATTTTTAATAATAGTATTAGATTGCTTGTTTTAGAAAATGTACAACCACTTGAAATCATGTTGTTAACTTATTAGAATGTGTGCTTCACTACATCTTGTTCAACACTTTGCTCAATAAATATCTGAGATATGGTAATTCAGGCACTATCCTCCCACAACCTCCAAGGACAGCTTTTTCTATTTTTTTTATTTTTTATTTTTTATTTTTTTATTTTAAAAATAAAAGGAGGAAAATACTAACAGACAGACAACATTTTACAAAATAGCAAAGGATCAGTACAGACAGTACAGAGTTACAAACAGAGTGCTGGGGAATTAACAATGCTTGTTTTTTTTGTTTTTTGGTTTTTTTTTATTTATTTATTTTTTTTTTGGTTTTGGTTTTTCTCCAGTACCGGGAACCGAACTCACGACCTTGTGCTTGCCAGGCAGGCACTTTGCCGCTGAGCTAAATCCCCAGCCCCCAACAATGCTTGTGGTATTACATATTGATATCTTCAAAGTGGTTTCTCATAAAAACAGATATAGACATACAAAGCTGATCAACCAAGGACTCATTGACAGTTTCTTTCAGCAAAGAAATACAAGACAGTAGAACAGCCATGTTAACGATCATGCATATACATACACAAAAACTTTCTCCTTCTTTCCCTTCTCTTTTCCCATATCCCAGTTACCCTTTACCTTTGAGTGCTTTCCTATCAATTCACAATGTCTATCATATCTCCTAGTTTAAATTAACTCTTTCAGGCTTTACACTAGAGAAACAATGCGGTGCTTGCACATGTATGTTTGATTTATTTCACTTATGAGTATGGTCTCTAGTTGTGACCATTTACCTATAAAAGCCTCGAGTTTATCTTTCTTTACAGCTGAGTAATATTCCATTATATAAAAGTACACACAGGACAGCTTTTTCTTTGAAGGAGAAGAAGACGGGGCAGAGACAGCTCAGAGGTGCCAGGTGGAGTGTGGAGAGGCTACTGCCAAAGCATACAAGTCCCTAGGTGAGTTATTCCAGCTTTTACCTCCAATATCACTACCACTACATCTCCCCCTGCATAAGAACAGTACTCAGATACTGAATAGTACACGAGTGCTGAGACAACTTGACAAATAGTTGGGTTATTAACAGAGAATCTCTACCACCGGACTTATTGAGGGCAAGCAAGATTCAGGCTGTGTTGCTCTACTTACTTGTTATAATAAATGACGATGGTGACAATTAGTATAACAAACAAGAATAAAAGCACTGCAGCAATGATGTATTGGTTATGAGTTTCACCTAGGAGAAAAAAAGAATAGTAGGAATTAGGAATTTAACTAAAACCACATGAAGAAGATAGGAAAATGAAGAAAGACACATTATTCACAATTAAAAACCAACAGTCTAATAAAATAAAAATATGATAGGCAAAGGGGAAACGACAATTATTCCTTTAGAACTTCCTTAACATTTATGACTCAGACTTTTATTAGTTTCCTGATTGAGCTAAGAAAACTTAAGACTAAGAATACAAGACTTAAGAACAAGAATACAAAGAATTTAACACAGATATCACTTTATTCCAATAAGCTCACATCAAATGTAGAAAATCTTTTGTTTAAAAACTATTGAAGAAATGTATTAGTAAATGTTACTTTTTGTGTCTGATATATTAAGTAGACTCAACCTACAACACTATGTAATTTTAGATTTTCTCAGTAGAATTTTGTTCAAAAAATTTCTCTATTAGATTTGATAAATTTAATCATTAAAAAAATAGGAAAAATATATGATTGCCACTAAATGTTTTCTGGAAATTTGTAATGGTCCAGGAGTGTGAAGTTCTCACCCCAGCTCTTTCATAATTTAGCTGATGATCTCCAGCATAGTCCTTTACATCTTCTGCATGGGTTGTTTTCATCTACCAAGTGAGAACAGTGACAGCAGATCTCACTGCATCACAGAATTGTGGTAAGAATCCAGCGAGCCAGTGGCGAACCTATACTCCTAGAGGAAGGTCACCTCTAGAGCATCATCCCAGAGATCATTTTTTCTTCTTGCTATGTCTTTCTGCCCACACTGCACCTCACCTGCCCCTACCACAGGGTACACTCTAGGCTCCTCACAAAGAGAAAGAACTAGGTCAGCACCCGCTGCCTGCGGGAGTGGCATTGAAGGAATCAGAAAATTTGACCATCTCCTCCCAAGAGGACAGGTTGGGAGGAGTCAGTACGACCTCCTTTGCTCTTGAAATGGAACCAGAAAAGCTTGTACTTTGATGCCTGAGCTGCCTGAAAATCATGCTTTTCAACTGACCTTTCCCCATGTTTTCCTCAGGTTGTTTCTTTCTTCTTAAGCCACTATTCAGTTGAAAGTCTTTTCACGGTAAGAGCTCAATGTCTAGGCCCGTTAATTTATAAGCTTTACTGAAAAGCAAAGCTAAGACAAATGGTAGACCATTTTTGTATTTATTTAATCTACAGTCTACAATTACAAGCACTTGTGCAGTAGTGTTTCCTTTTTGGTCTTGGTTTATTTCACTTAACATTCTTCAGGTTCATCTGAGTTGTCTCAAATGACAGGATTTCCTACCTTTTATGACTATTATTCCAATATCTATGTATATAGACACAATGGTCATATATAAAGGTAATGGAATAATAGCCATATCAACAATAGTCCTGTGATATACATATGTATCACATGCTCTTTATCAAGTCATGGTTTGGTGGACATTTATGTTGTTTCTTTATCTTGACCATCATAAATTGTGCTGCATAGATGTGGATATCTCTTCAACACGCTGATACCCAGCAGAGGTATTGATAAATTGCATGGTAGTTTTGTTCTTAGTTTTTGAGACACCTCCACCTGTTTTTAATAATAAGTATACCTGTTTACCTCCCCACCAGCTTTGTACATGGGTTCCACTTCCCTTACATCACTGACAACATTTTTTATTTTTTATCTTTTTGATAATTGCTATCTTAACAGGTGGGAGGTATTATTTAATTGTGGTTTTGATTTTCATTGACCTGATATCTAGTAGTGTAGATCATCTTTTCATACCTGTTGGCCAGTTTTATGTCTTCTTTGGAAAAACATTTATTCAGAGCTATGGACCATTTTTCCATAGTTATTTCTGGGATTTACAGTGAAATACTGAGACTTGCAATAGCATGGATGAACCTAGAGGACATTATGCTAAGTGAAGCAAGCCAGACACAGAAAGTCAGATACAAAAAGGCCTCACTTGTAGGAAGACTCCAAAAAAGATGAAACCTTAGAAGCAGAGAGTGTAACAGTAGTTACCAGGAACTGACGGGTCAGAGTTCAAAGTATATGAACTTTCATTTAGAAGATGAACAATTCCATGGATAACAATGGATAACATAGGGAGTAAAGGATATATTAATTCATTTAATTGCTCCAATTATTACATGATGTTTACATAAATCAAACCATCATGTTGTATGCCTTGAATACATTTGATTTTTTACAATTATATAAATATGTATACATTTTTAAAATTTTAAAACACTTGTTTTCTTTAGGCTTTTGGTATTTCTAAATTTTCTAAATGCTATGCTGTTTTTATAATCAGGAAATATACTACAAAATTGTAAAGATCTCTACATATAAAACAGGCTATTTTACCAAACGTCATGGTTACATTTAAACTGCTTTTTTAGAAGTAGTCTCAGAATCCTTAAGAATTACGGTGACTTTTTTTATCAAGTTGTAAATTATATGAATTTATAAGTAAACCCCACTTGAAAGTATGACTATTTGTGTCACACTGCTACATTATAAGTCCAAATTTTAAATGTTTAAATTTGAAGTCTATTTTTAACCTCTTCTAGGTGTGTTGATCGCTCGGAGTCTGATCCATTCATCCACTCAGCATCAAAATATGTACTATTTCAAGGTGTACTGTGTGGCTGGTAGTACAGATAAGAGGGTGGGTAATGACAAATTTGAGGCTTGATTTAGTGGAATTTGTATTACTCTGAGACGTCCTCCACAACTTAAGAACAGGCATGAACCCAGTATCTTCCCTTAAAAACAAGTGCAAAGCTTACAGGAAAGCTGGATATGCAGCTGTGCTCCTGCAACAGCACAGGGCCAGCCCTGCCTCAAGCCAGCAATGCCTGCCTCCCCTCCCTGCCCTCTGCCTGCAGTGTGGCACGTACAGCCAGCCTATGTACAAGACAGCTCTCTGGGCCCTGTAAGATGAAAGAAATAAAAGAGCAGCTAGGAAGGGATGATTTGGGGAGTTAATCAATAGTTCATAACATTCATTTTTTTCCTTAAGTTTTGCTATTAGATCTTCAGTTGAATAATGTCAGCCCTCAAGCTCTTCTCTTAAAGAAAGAAGAATTATTGTGTGTTTTCAGTGCCCACTTTTTTAAACTTACATTCCAATGCTGTGCTGATTCATAGGACATCAGAAATGTCTTGAACCATAGAGTTATTATTTTTTTTCTTCCATTACAAAAGATAAATACAGTTAAAATAATTTAAAGCAAGTCAGTGAAATTTATAAATGAATAATTTACTCCAGGCCTGTGACCCTACAGGCTAAGTTTCTGCCAGTGACAAGTATTTATGGCTGAGTTATAAACCTTTAGAAATGTCTCGTGATAGAAATGCTGCCGGGTCCTTCCCACAGAGCCATTTCCCACAGAAATGCTGCCGGGTCTTCCCACAGGGCAGAGTAGCCACAAATGCATTGTTTCTCCTTTATTAGAGCTCAGAAAAGAGAAGTAAAGAACTCAACCAATTTAGAACCTAAATAAGTGGGTCAAAAAGCATGATAGGAAGAAACATCCTGACTCTGTTAGAGTCCTCAGTAAGTATCATTTAAAATTATTTTCTAACTTCATTAAAAAGACAAGCAAAAATGTTAGATCTCATTTTATGTACAGTGAGTAAGTTTAGGTACAGAAGATACACATCTTCTGCATTTCAGGTGTTTCCAAATCTCAACTGTCTGTATGACACATAAAAATATCCCACCTCCACCTCACATTTGCCATTGGTTGTTTGAAACACAGACACTGAAGAGGGAAGTGTAGGGCTCATCCTGTCTTCTAATTCTTCTCCCTGAAAGGTCTTACATAGGACATTTAATCTCTCACTTTCTTGGCAGCTATAAAATGATGATAAGATCAAGAATAGCTATAGGATTTAAGAATTTATAGCTATAGGATTTATAAGAGGGTGGGTAATGACAAAGTTATAAATCCCCTAAGAATAGCTATAGGATTTAAATAAAACATATAGAGGTAGTTTAAATATTTTAAGCACCACATAAGTTCTTAATAGTACACATTACATCCATACTAACATTTAATATGCACACATTCCAAACTAGGATTAACTCATCTTTATTCTTTTCATGTTGAAATATCATGTTTACTTAGTCTTAAATGACACAGGATACTTGCTCCTATAGTTAGACTCACATTCCTGAGGAATTGTACAGGTAATGGTGACCAAGATACATAAAGTAACTGTAGCCTTGGAGAATCATGGGAAATGACAAGCCCAAAGTGTGTGGGACAGTGCACTTGATATATAAATCAAGTGGATACTGGTATGATAATATTATGCCAGGTTTTCTGAAGTCATCTGTCTAAGCAAATCAATTTCATACTTTATGTCTCAGAAATCTTTGCCTATTTGATTGCAAGAAGGTCTTAGAGAATAAGTGATACTCAGAGAATTAAAGGAGCAGGACATCAACTTAAGGAAGGGTGGAGGGACACAAACACAACTGGGAACTATACTGATTGCTTCTTTGACATTGATGGTTCATTGTCAAATGTTCGCACTACATTATTATAAGAACACATACATTCTTGTATATTTTATTTGTAAGCTTTACATATATAATAAATGTTATTTATGTTGGTAATAAATAATGAGATCAATACATACAACTTTCTAAACTAGTGAAGCATATTCCTTTCAGATACCAAGTGTTTAAATTATAGTTCTTAAATGGAAATAATTGTAAGCAGCATAGCACAGTTCTTTGCCTTATTAAGCAGAGAATAATAAATGTAAAAGAGTTGGGCCATCACGTTGAACACCATCTTTTACACTTTGCTATAAGCAATGGCGAAAACCAAGGTGGTTAATATCCACTTTCAGTTACCTGTGTCTCATTATACTCTTGTACTTAGACATAACATTTTTTGTCTCCTCATTCTCTACAAAATTGTTAGCTTTCTCTGTGTATTTCCCTCAATATTCTACAGTCTGATACTTCTTTGCCAGTTTTCTAATTTATT